ATAATGATCACAAGTTACTGACATAGTTTATGTGACAATGTGACATTCATTAATTGGGAGCTAAGGTCGGCCACAACACATGTAAGCTGTTGATGTGATGGTTGGTGAAATGACGATGAATTGACTTGTCTAGTTGTGATGGTTAGGAAGTCTTATGATCTCCATGTCGAGAAGCCATCCAATTGATATTGAGGCCAAGAAGTCCATTGATGTCTAGGTCGGGAAATAATGACAAGCATATGATATTCAATTATCAGGCAAGTAAAACTACTTTATAATCCCATAAAAATTGATGTTAAGTTGAGCTGAATTTTGAACCCGAACAGTATAACAAAGATGACAATGTTTATAAATTTTTGCAAAATCTTACGACATTATGTCCTTAAAAGAAACTATACATGAATACATATATACAACTATACTTCATATAATTAACTAGAGATGACAAAAAAAGAGTACTTGCCCATTTATTCATTCATAAATATGAATATATTTAAAATTATTCAAATCCGTTTCAAATTCAAGGGAAAGGGTCAAATAAGCCCCTAATACTTGAAAAAGTCAATTAATCCCCTAAACTTTTAAAAAGTGCAATTACATCCTTTAACATGTTATATTGAGGCAATAGAGTCCAAAAACTGGTAAATTACTTGCTATTACAGGTCATTAGAGTTCCGGCATCAATTTTATCCATCTCCGGCCAAAATCCGGCAACCGGCGGAAGGCGACCTCTAAGATGAGAGCCTTCTCTGGTAGACGGCAATGGTTCGACCGTTGCCCCCGCCAGATTGTCGTCGGAGATGGATAAATTAAAATTGATGTCCTAATGACTTGTAATAGCATGTCATTTACAGGTTTTTAAACTTTAATTTATTGTCTCAATATAACATATTAAAGGGTGTAATTATATTTTTTAAAAATTTAGAGTATTAGTTGATTTTTCATATAAATGTTAGGGACTTATTTGGCCTTTTTTATTAGTTATTGAAGTGGAATATCCAGTATTATTGGATTCATTACTATCCCTAGTACAAACAAATCCCACTCTATATGGTTTTTGGCCTCAAAAGAAGCTAAGGAGCTGGTACGTTATATACTTCACAATCTCTCTCTTATCTACGCAATAATATAATTTTTGTAAATAATTCAGCAGCGGAAAGCACGAGGCATATCAAGGTTTGATCTGAGTCAGTCTCAGAATCCAATAACATTCCATTCCACAAATTAAAGGAATCAAAATTAAAGCAGAGAATTGAAGTATGTATGAAATGAAATGAAATAAAACCGGTGGAATCTAATAGACATTCTTTGCTTCACAGACATGCCAAGCAGACTGCCAGTCTGCCACTACAACAATATAATACTGTGTGCCTGTCGTTTTTCATTCATGGCTCACCTTCCTAAAACCCTACCCCACTTTCACTTTGTGTCAGTGTCTTGTTTGAACTAGAATTGTGTGAAACTTTGACCAGTCAAATGATCACTTCATCTCTCCTACTCAGTACTCATCCCAACGCAATTAGGCATGCATCATGTACCTTGCTGACTTGGTCTCCTCTTGTTGCCCACCCCACCCCAAAAGTTGTGTTTCCATTACTATTTCTTTTCGATAGTTCAGATATTTTAATTTCACGAAATAATATTTTGGACCTTATAAATTCATCCCTTATGAAAAATAACTCGAATCAATCTAATTTTAGAACATAATACCAAATCATACACTTCTACGCACAGAGCTCATCCCGAACCAAAATCCCAATCTTTGTGATAGAATCCCACCTTACCACGGAAAGTAAATCTTAAAAATAATATTTTTCATTCACTAGACCAATGTCCTGTGACAAATATGAGAAAAGAAATTTTCATTACTATTTTAAAGGTGATAATTTTATCCCTAAAATCTCCATGAGAGCAAGGAAGGAAAAGGGATTTTATTTCAAATGTAGGAGAGGGTGAGATTGCAGGGCAGGGATATATCCCCACTCCAACCATGCCCAAAATTGCTGTTCCTAGAGGGGATTATCCAAGCCCATAATGTTCCAATCTCAATGTTTAAATAAACTATGATTAATGTATTAGGGTAATATGTTACTAGATCTAACCACAAGAATTTGAACTAGTGGACAATAAGAGTTTGACATAAGTTGCCCAATCCTTTTAGTATTATTCACACCCTTTTAGTAATTTCAATCTCAATTTCTAAAAAAATAAAAATTAAAGTGTAATTCTAATGGTAAAGCCAGTCTTTTTCGTCTTAATTAAATCACGAGTTTAAATTCTAAATCCGTAAAAGAGCACATAGATTTTGTGCACAAAATGACAAATTGAAAACAATGATAGAAAATTTCGCAATCAAATAAATTGTCCAATCCTTCCAATAGTATTCACACTATTTTAATCATTCCAATCTCAACATTTAAAAAAAAAATAGTATAATTCCAATAATAAAATCAATCTTTTTCATTTTAAATCAATAGTTTAAATTCTAAACCCGTAATAGAACACATAGATTGCTTCACACACAATGACAAATCAAAAATAATGATGGAAAATTTTGCGATCACATATACTGTTTCCAAGTTAGAATGAAAGTAAACAAACAAAAAAAGAGAACGATAATGGTGGTGGTGGTGATGATAGGTAAGCTTTCTCTTTCAAGAAATTTGCAGTAGTCGCAGCATTATTTTGTCGTGTGAGAGAAGGCATAGGATCCCAAGGTGTAATAATGGGACAAGAGGGATCTATCATTGTCTGTTTATGATATGACCATTGTTGTATCTATCATTATTCATTAATTAGTTATATATAAAAATGACACTGCAAACATGATAACATCTTTACTAGTTCGACGTTTGCTGTTGCCTGTTAGAAATGTTGGGTAATAGCACCATCAATTTTTCTTATTAAATTAACAATTTATATAAAATTAAAGAGACTATTTATTTTAAATAAAAAAAAAATATCAATGAGAGACCAGAAGATCATATATATATAAGCACCCTTTTAAGTAAAAAACATGACGAATGAAGGACAAACTTTATGATCTTCTGGCCTCATTAAAAGGACGACAAAAAATATAATCCAAGCATGTCAATCCTCGATTATGAGTGAAAAGCACACTAATATATAAGATAATGGCTCTGTTTGGTAAAAAATAAAATAAAATAAAATAAAATTAGTCTATCAATCAACTTTGACTTATTTAACCACTATTGATTGTTTAACTTGGTTAAACAATCAATATGAGTGTTTGATTAAGTAATTAGTTTTTTGTAACAACTTATGTTCTAAAATGTTAACATTCAAAAAGCTGTTCAAAGTAGTTTTTTCGATCAGCTTTTTGAGAAGTTATTTTGCATGTAATAAGTTATTAGCCAATTAACAACTAATTTAGCAAACACTTTTCTACAATCAACTAATGCTATCAACTAATTAAACCCACTATTCCAATCAGCTAACAATTATCGGCTAACAACTATTAACCAAACACCCCCAACAGGTAACTCGACTAGTTATGCTTCTTAAATAATTTGTCAATATGATATCTCAACTAATATGAAACGATTAAATTAGAAGAAATATAATATAATTTAATTCAAACTCAATTATAGGATTAGTGCGGTTAACGAATCGAATATAAACGAACAGAGGTTGTTCGTGTTCGTTTGTTAAGGTTTTTTGGAGTGTTTGTGTTCGTGTTCGTTTGTTAAGGTTTTTGAAAATCCTATTCGTGTTCGTTTGTTAAGCGTTCATTAGTATTTGTTAACATTCGCGAACACGTTCATGATTAACGAATACGTTCACGAACCTATTCGTTTACGTTCATAAACACGTTCGTGAATGCTTAATAGCCAAACATATGAACATGTTCATGATCACAATTCGTTTGTGAACAAAAAATAATATATGATCATGAAAAATAACCAAACAAGTAACACAACTACAAAAAGAATACAAACAAATATTAAACAAACACAAACAAGCTTGTTCACGAACATTATTAAACAAACACTAAACGAGCTTGTTCGTAAATATTATTAAACGAACACAAGCGAACTTGTTCACGATCTCTTAACAAACAGGCTTACAATTGTTCAGACTCTATTCCTTTATAAACAGAGCTCTAAATTTTGTTTGTTAATATTCGTTTACCTTAATAAACGAATACTTACCGAACACGAACACGAGTAGTTTACCGAAAGTTTTGTTCGCTAACACCCAGGTAGGATAGAGCGTTGTCAATCCTAATTGGGGCACCCAAAATTTGCGTTTTGATTGGTATCCGATCTTATCATCAGCAATTAATTAGTTGATTGCATGTGATATTTATTTGCTATTTTAATTACTTGATGGGGACGCCACTTTATGGAATAGTTGAAATATAGTATTATGAAGCCGTTATCCTCGGCATTCACTCTTGTCAAGTGCTTGTGTCCCACATACATTGATCATTTTCTTTAATTAATTATTCTAAACCCTAATCCCATAATCACATATACATATTCCCAGCTTTCTCTATTTTACTAACACGGGTTTAACTCACTGATTCAATCTACAATATTTGAAAAAAAAAAGATCAAAGTCCTAATCTGGACAACCACAGTATAGTATTACTTATTATTCAACAATCAACAATTTAGGACAGAATTTTTTAATATGGTCTACACTCTACACCAACCTAAAACAATCATCAAACCTTGTATTTATCTCATTATGTGATAAAAGTCAATAATGAGTGTATGTTTATTGGATGGAATATTGTATAGTCTATTGATGAAGAGTAGAGTAGTATACTAAATGTTGGTTATGCCTATAATCACGTAACTAGAATTAGACCTAAATTATTGTTTGGATGTGGGAATAGTTGCATGGTGGCGTTAGATTCCCCTTACAGCAGAACTACTATACTATACTGGGTCTCATTCCCATCACCATTCTGTTGATCATCATCATATATATATCCAGAAGAATGAAATGATCCGTTGATGTATAGTATATGTAGGCCAGCCACAGAGGGTGAAAAATCCAAGAGAGATATATGCATGCACGCATCCCGGTACACCTATATTTTGTAATCATTATACGCACTCACCATTTTCTCTCTCATGCAATATAGAGAGAGAAAGAGAGAGAGAGACAGACAGACAGAACCAGGGAAGAAGGAAGAAGAATCTCTCTCTGTCTGCATATATTATAAATATATATATGTATCAGCATGGAAGCTAAGACTGCAAGTCTGCAAGAGCGTCATTAACCACCTTCATCTGAGATATTCATCTTCATATATAATCACATCTCTTCTGGAACCCAATCCTTCAAAGCTTTCAGGTATATATATATATATTCTTCACTCCTTGAATCCCTTTCTTTGATTTGTTTCTACCATTGTTACAAAGGAAGTAGTGGAAGAATACATTTAATTTCTTGGTTTGAGCCGATCAATTATTGATAATTTATGTTAGGTTTATTTCATCATAATTTTTTGCTTAGTTAGAATCGCATACATTTGTTCACATCCTTTTTTGATAATTTGAACTCGTTAGTTATATATGAACAACTTAAATTGATTTTTTTTTTTTAATCTTTTTTGCTAATCCCTTTATTTGATTTGTTTCTACAAACCATCGTTACAAAGGAAGAAGAAAGAATATTTTTTGGTTTGAATTAATCAATTATTAACGATTTAATTAAATTGGTTTACTTTATTATGGTATTTGACATATTAGAGTCACACTATTGATCACAGTTTGAGCTTTTAGTTTATTTCTTTTTTTGCAAATTAGGGTCATAAGACAGTACACATACACCTTCAGATAGTGAGACTGCAAGTTTAATTGTCACTCAAAATAAAATAATAAAGAAAGGTTTTAGGTGGTCTAATATTGTTTGGAATTTGCAGGGCGGGAATTGAAATGGCATCTGCACAGACACTGGAAAGCATGTTGGGTTGCAGAAAAGCAGAGCAGCAAGAGAAGAAGGCGAAGGCGGCATGTGCAGATGAGCAATCTGCATTGAAATGCCCAAGGTGCGATTCCACCAACACAAAGTTCTGCTACTACAACAACTACAGCCTATCTCAGCCCAGGTACTTCTGCAAGTCCTGCCGCCGCTACTGGACCAAAGGCGGCACCCTCCGCAACGTCCCCGTCGGCGGCGGCTGCCGGAGAAACAAGAGATCCTCTTCCCGCCCGGCTCGAACTAACCAAGACCCATTATTGTCTTCACTCACCTCTAGCCCCATTCACCCGCCATTGATGCCCTCCCTCGCCACCCTGCCTTATGACAGGCCAATCATCTGCAACAACAACGTTAACCCCGCCTGCGATGTTCTTGAAAGCTATGGGTTATTGGGCGGTGGTGGGTTTCTGCAAACTCCGGCGACCAACGGGCTGTTCCACAGTCTGTGCTATGGGATTGGGAGTGATGATCAGCAGAGTAACAGTGTGGAGTGGAATGGTGGAAATGGGGAAATAATAATGGGGAATTCTTCATATCATCAAGATCGGATATGCGGCAGCGGTGGGGTGAAGCAAGAGGTGTGTTATGGAAGAGATGAAGGTGAGAGCAGGCTGAACTGGGGATTTCCATGGCTGCTGCAGGGTGGAGGAGAAGGTGCCAACAACAGTGATGTTATAATTAGCTCAAGCAGACAAAGCTGGAATGAGAATGGGTTTGGTCCTTATTCTTGGCATCATGGGCTAATCAACAGCCCACTCATGTAGGATCATATATGAACATTTTATGTTAATTCATCAATTACAAACTTGTGTGCTAGCTAGCTAAAATCTTTAATCTTTTCAAGAAAAGAATGATAGTAGTATTTTGTTCGTTATATATATATATATATATATATATATATTTGTGATTGGAGAAATCGCACCAACTATCTGAAGGTGTTGATAAAGGATACAAGGTTAATAGACCTTGTGGCTTGGTTGAGGTTGCTCCTAGTTTGTTATATTCTTAGATTAGACTGTCTAGAAGATCAGATTAGGCTGGGTTTATTTCAATTTTGATTTTCAATTTTTCTTTCATCCTTCTCTATTTCTGAAATTGGGTAAATGTACAAGTAAATGAATTTCCTATCTTTCTTCTTCCGACAAATGGAGAGTTTTTATAATTTGTAAAAGGCACAAGTGTCAAATAGGCTCATTTACTACTTTAAAGTGCTCAATTCCCCATCAACTAAAATATAATATAATTAGACATACTTATCTCTAAAAATTTGTCAATTAGCTTTATTTGCAGGTTACCTACGGGTTGCCACTCCACACTGCTGACATGTAATTATATTTAAATAAAAATGGTGATGATGTGGAATTCAAATAAAAATGGTGATGACATGTAATTCATCAAAAATGGTGATGATGTGGAATTCAAATAAAAATGGTGATGTTGTGGAATTCAAATAAAAATGGTGATGACATGTAATTCATCACCATTTTTATTTAAATATAATTACATGTCAGTAGTGTGGAGTGGCAACCGGGAGGTAACCTGCAAAAAAAAGCTAATCCACAAATCTTTAGAGGTAAGTGTGTCTAATTACATTATGTTTTAGTTGATGGAGGGAATTGTGCACTTCGAAGTAGTAGATAGACCTATTTGACACTTGTGCCTTTATAAAATCATTCTTAATCTTGCTTAATTAGCCTGTCCCGTTTTCTTTAGAATGGCTCCTCTCATTAATTGACTAGCTAAATAATGAATTTCACCTTTGTAACATAAGTGGTACCATAGCTAGATATTCCAACTTTGCATATTGAATGACAATTCATTACGCCTATTAATTTATCAAATTGCAAAATTTTCATGAAGTTTTTTTCGATATATATCAACCAGGGCAAGATTTATGTAATTATGTTAGTTTCTTACTTTATTTTTATTTTTAAAAAAAAAAAACTTATTTTACTGTATATAAAAAAATTCATATAAGATTTCGTGATTTTATTAGTGAAAAGAATTCAAATAAGATTTCGGGAGGATTTTTGAATCATAAAATTTGTTTAATTAAAATGTCGGGATTGAATTCTACTAAAGAAATTAAAATTTGAGAGGTAATAATTTGATCTTGTTGTGAGCATTAAAATAAGTATTTGAGGGTCTATTATACTAGTTAAAGCACATCTTACAATTTATTTTATTCTCCCTAACAATTTATTTTCTCTATCCATTTCTAGAGGATGAGCGATTATGAACACTTAAATTTGCAGTTTAAACTTATAAAATTAGTTTGATAAAATTAGAAGGGTTACTTTTTTTTTTTTTTTTTTTTTTTGGGGGGGGGGGGAGGGGGAGAGGAGATTCAATTTGGTAGCTCCATTATATTATACTTCTTCAGTCTCATTTTGTTTGTTGGTTCGATTAACAAGATTAGACTGAATTTATTTTTAATTTAATTTTTATAATATTAAGTTTAGTATTAGTATATAAAATTTATGTATTTAGAAACTACATTAAAAACATTATTAAACACAAAAAATTAAATTTTAAAATAATTTAAAATTATTAAAGAAAATAAATAATAAAAAAGAGTTAATTTGAGTAATAAATAATAAAAATAGCATACAAATAGTATTCATGCTAACTACCCTGTGGGTGCCCCATTAGCGGCAACCCAATGACTACATTTGTTTCCAACATGCTAACGTGTGAACTCTTCGTGCTGCAGCTACAGTTTGGTGTTTGTACCTTTTACTGGGGTAGACCACCATAAACGGTGCATTACGTTCGCTTGCGGGTTGCTAACTCGAGAAGACGTTGCCTCATACGTGTGGGTTCTCGAGAGATTTAAAGCTGCAATGGGAAAGAGCCCCTTGTGTGTCGTAACTGATCAAGACCCGGCTAAGAAGAGTGCTATTGCACAGGTATTGCCGGAGTGCTGGCACCGTTACTGCATGTGGCATATCATGACCAAAGTGAGCGAGAAAATCTGGGGTTGAATTGTCAAAAGAACAGACTTTCTGAACCCAGCTTAACAACGTTGTGTGGAATGAGACCATTGGCATTAGTGATTTTGAAACGCAATGGCAGTCGTTAATGAAAAAGTACAACTTAACAGGGCATCGATGGTTCACCAAGTTATACACAGAACGGGCGTTTTGGATTCCATCTTATTTTTTAGATTTACCCATGAGCGGTGTCCTACGTACCACATCGCATTCAGAATCAGAGAACAGTGCGTACGGTAAAAGCACACGCCCACATTGTAGCCTGGTCGAGTTTTACGTGCAATACGAAAGTGTCCTGGAAACGCAACGACACAGACAAAGCAAACTAAATGCTGAGAGTGAGGGGTCCTTTCCTGAGTTCAAAACTCCTTTAGCATTGGAGCGACACACAGTGCAGGTATTCACCCTAACAGTGTTTTATGAGCTCCAGCTAGAGATTGAGGCTGCATGTTTTTATTGTAAGGTTGTGGGGATCTGTGCTGATGGTGAGTGCATCCGTTACGACATTAAAGGGGAGTACAACGTTGTCCACACTGTTGAAACGACATCCAGCTTCCTACCCCTACACCAAAAGGACCAAAAACAATCAACAACATTGTGCACATGCAAGACGCAGCAGCGCACATACAAAGCAAAAAATGACCTCAAACTAAATCCAACACCAAAAAAAAAAGAAAAAGCCATTCCACAGCTAAACACAAAAAAAAAAAAAAAAAAAAAAAAAAAAAAAAAAAAAAAAAAAACATTGTAATGCCAATTCCCAAAACGCATAACATGCACAGGGTTACACACAACAATGCACAAACCAGGAATCCACCAACAATGTGCAAACCAGACTGAATACGCAAAATGCACAAACTAAAGCCTCTGAATACACAAACCAGTTAATACAGACTAACCAGTTAAGCCGCCGCCGCCCTCTTCTTCTCCGAGAAGTGCTTCGGCTTCTTCACGAAGTTCTTGGATGTCCCAACAATCTGTAATGAATGCCCAGAAACCCAAAATTCTCAGAAATTTGTAAACAAAATCGCCAGAAATCAAGATCTTTACGCCCAAATTCTCAAATCTTTTCCTTAATGTGATTGGATTTTTCTCAAGCAATCAAGCATTGAAGCAGTAAAAACAGATAATCAAACAGAGAAACGGCATTAAACCCGGATTAAAAGCAATAAAATCTTTAGAAAAAATGCAGTAAATAAGAATACCTTGCAGCCGAGAGAGCAGAAGCGAAAGGAATCAAGGAGGCTGCGCTCACAGACCTCACAGGTATTGGTGACGCCCTTTCCCGACCTGGGCTGCGGCCGTTCATTCAAGAACACAACTTTAGTGCTGTTGATAATGTAGGTCTGAACCGAAGAGATGTCCAAAAACTTCTGAATCTCATTAACTCTGATCACATCATACCCCCCACCGCCAGAACAAACACACACCCTCTCCCCACTACCAAACCAACACCCTGTTTACAATTTAAAAAAAAAAAAAAAAAATTGTCTCCAACCAAAAACCTCGCCCGCCTCGTCGGAATGCGAAAACCCTAGTTGCCACCGACCACCGTCGAACTAATCTTCGAACAAAATGATAGAAACAAAAATACGAATAAAAAAAGACTTAGGAATACCTTGAACACCACTGGTAGCCTCCCTCTTCCGACGCTTTGACCATCGGATGGAAGACCAAGCTATGGAGAATCCGATCGAGGAAACGGCTTTAGAGATTGGTTCGAAGATTGGTTGTTCAGAGAGACAGAGAGACGGGAGGAGGCGATGAGAACGAGAGGAAATCGGAAGAATTTGGGAATCTCGATACATAGGAAATAATGAAAGAAAGAAAATTCACGGTGTGTAAATGGTAACAAATTAATGCCAATACGAAATTACCCAAACACCCCTCAGCAGGTTAAAAAAAAAACAGCTCGTATTACTTAAAACAATTGATAAATCTAAACCATTAAAATAACAAAACGAATGCTCAGGATTGAATCTCACGAACTCACCTGAATAGGGGGTGCACTGGATTCAAAATCTATATATATATATATATATATATATATATATATATATATATATATATATATATATATATATATATATATATATATATATATTTCTTTGTTAATTATTCATTTGTTATTTAATATAATTTTCTTCGTTTACGTATTTTTCCTATTATTTAACTTCTATAATTCTATTTTTCAAAAAAAAAAAAAACAAAAAAAAAAAAAAAAAAACAACTTCTATAATTCTAAAATTTCGATCATTCGCTTCCGCATTATTTTACTATATTCCTAACAGCAGGAGATTGGACTCATAAAATAGAAAAGAAAATTGTTAGATATGCCCTTAATCTAAGTTTAGTTTTATGTAATGTGTAACGAGTTGAATACCTTTTCTCACCTTTTTTTTCCCCAAAATAAACATTGTTCCAATAATGGCAGGTAAGGCGGGCGGCTAAGCTATTTGCGCCTATATGTGTAACAATAAATAAAATTATTGATTTAGTTGTGATAATTAATCATGCTTCATAAGTCATCATAACTCAGAAATGACACTACCAACAAACTTAAACACGCAAATGACAGTAATGATGTCATTATATTTCAAGATTATAATTAGTTTAATTATAGTGTTAATTGGTGTTCAATACCAAAAGAATGTCGTCATGGACCAAAGACACAGGCATGTTAATACTCAAGAATCATAACAATTAAGAGAAAATTTCAATTTTGGTCCACTGACTATTGGAGTTGTGTTAATTGCAACACTTGACTTTCGAAAATGTTAATTTAATACCTTGACTATGCAATTTCTATCAATTTTGGTCACGCCGGCCAAATCTCACCGGAAAAATTTAATAGGTCAAATAATAAGGATATTTTAGTCATTTTACTCATTTCTTTTTCTCCGATGACCTCCTCTCCATTTCCGGCGAGCGTGATGACAACTAAGAAATTTCTGAAGAAGAAGTCTAACAGTGAATAATCAGCCCGATGTGAAAGCTTTGGTTCGCGGCGCACATACTTTCAGATGCCCAAATCTGGGGATTACGAGCTGGGTTAAGTTGCCGCATCCACAACGCCAATTTCGAATGGGGGAGGCCAATCTTTATGGGGACAGAGATACGTACTTGCTCGGCAAAAGGAGTGGGATGGGTGAAGGGTTTTCAAAAGTTCAATGTTCTCAAACACCTGGATATCCCCATCCAAGTCTCCACAAATTGCATTCAAAAATCATCATTTAGCTTCAAAACCATACATGCAATTTTAATCCCAATTTATGTCTTTGAAGGTTAGTCTTACCTCCTAGATATTGAGCTTAAAGTAGTTGATAACGTAGTACGCCATAGCAATTTTAATCCCAATTCGCTGCTCTGCTTGAGATTTAGATGAAAGAAATAAAAAGATTTGGCCGGAAAATGGTCGGGTCGTCGGAGAAGAAAAGGAAGAAAGGTAAAATGACTAAAATATCCTTATTATTTGACCTATTAAATTTTTCCGGTGAGATTTGGCCAGCAATTTGGCCGGCGTGACCAAAATTGATAGAAATTGCATAGTCAAGGTACTGAATTAACATTTTTGAAAGTCAAGTGTTACAATTAACACAAGTCCAATAGTTAGTGGACCAAACTTGAAATTTTCTCTAACAATTAATTATAGGACAAAATTGCTTGCGCATTGCTCAGCTTCATTCACAGGCTTTCCTAAGTATGGAGAGCTCAGCATCCTTATTTGTTGTTTTTAGGAGGTTTTTGCATTCTTTTTAGTCATAATGAATGGAAGAGAGAGAAGAGTAGAGAGAGAATATTGGAGTTGCCATGCAAAGATCTGGTTTTTTGTGGATCCTGCCAAAGGGAGAAAGGAGAGAAGTATACTGCCTTTGTGCGCGTTTGGTGCAAATCCAGCGCCCAGTTCGGTGCACGCGCCCGCTGGACGTGTTCATCTGTATATTTCTTTCTTTTTTAAAAAAAAATTGCTTTTCAAATGTTGTTTTTTTTTTTCTTTCTTCTCAATTTCTCTTTCTTAGTCACACCGCAAAAACCCACCAAAAAAAAAAAAAAAAAAAAAAAAAACTTAACAAACGGGGATGCTCTTACATTACTTAAGTACGAATGCCAAGTACCCATATTGAGTCATCCCCACAAGATAGTGAAACTTCCACATTGAGTTGTCTAGATTTGATTATGCATTTTACTATGCTATCTATGAGGGCCAAAAAAATTAAACCAAATAATTTTACATTCTCATAATCTCATTAATGGCCCTGTTTGGTAAAATTGTTAGTTTATCAGTCAATTTTGACTTATTTGACCACTATTAATTTTTGACTTGGTTAAAAAATTAAGGGATAAGAGTCAAATAGGCCCTTCAACTATAAACCAAAATGCAATTAGTCACCTAAACTAACAAAAGCTCCAATTAAACCCTTCATCTCTTCACTTTTATGAAATTAGGTTAATTAACAGGTTACATCTAGGTCCTAGGTAAATTTCTTTTATTTATTAAAAATTAATGAAAATAATAAATATATTTTTTAATTCAAATAAATTTATATAAAAAAGCAGCCGGCGACCTCCGTTGGGTTGGGAATTGGGATACTTGTTTGCTATCCTCTGTAAAGGTTTCTTTAATTTGTTGTTCAATAAAGTGAAAAAAAAAAAAAAAAAAAAAATGGAGTGGGAGAAGCAGCTATCGCCTCCGCATGTGGAGGAATCTTCGTAGAAGTGATGACAGACGACCAAATGGAAGTCTTCCGCAAGCAAATCACTGTCTATTCCACCATTTGCGAGCAGCTCGTCAATTCATAAAAGCCGGTCTGGCTTCTCCGTCGAAGAGAAGCCGACCAGGTTTTTTTTATATAATTAGTTCTTTTATTAAAAAAAAAAAAAAAAAACAACAACAACAACAATTTTACCTGTTATTATCTATTATTTACTTACAAATTGAGCTAAATGCACAAATTTAAAAAATTATAGGCTTAATTGCATAATAGTAAAGAGATAAAGGGCCTAATTGAAACTTTTGTTAGCTTATGGAGCTAATTGCACTTTGTCTTATAGTTTAAAGGCTTATTTGACCCTTATTCCAAAAATTAATATAAGTGTTTGATTAATTAGCTTTTTGTAACTTCAAAATGCTAAAAGTCAAAAAGCTGCTCAAACCAACTTTTTCAATTAGCTTTTTGAAGAAAAAAAAAATTAACCAAACAACTATCAGCTAACAACTAATTTACCAAAGACTTTTCTACATTCAACTAATGTTATTAACTAATTATACCATCTAATTAATCCAATTAGCTAACAGACATTTACCAAACAAGACTATTGTCTTTTTTGGGGGTAATCCTATAATATAAGATAATTTCGCATTCCGCAATCGTAATGTCCTAAAAAAGTGTAGCATTATTCCATCATAAAATCCATAACAAATGCAAGCAGTATGAGAGCGAACTATAGATTCAAGCGTAAATTACGTGATTATTTACGTTTCAACTTGTAACGTTTTGAACTACAAACTGAGAAAAGGAGGAGAAAGGAAAATAGTCCATTAGACGGAACGTTATGCTATGTAATCGTGTGCACTATGCAAAGTACACACAGTTTTAATTCATAATTTCTATATTATAGATATATAATTTTTATACTATAGATTCATAAAATCTATACTGTAGATTCATAATTTTTAAAGCGTAAATTTATAATTTAAATACAATACTCATAATTTCTATATAGTAGATTCATAATTTCTATAATGCATATTCATAATATTTGTACTGTAGATTCATAATTTCTAAAGTGTATAGTTATCAAATTATGAACATATAGTTCTGTGATTTGTGAATACAGAGTTCAACAATTGGGAATATGAACATCGAAAATTATAAACATAGAGTTCTGTAATTGTGAATATAGAGTTCAATACTGATGAATATGAAGTTAAAAAATTATGAATATATAGCTTTATAACTATGAACATATTGTTCAGTAATTATGAACATAGAACAGTGTGCACCATGCATGGTGCACACGGTTGCACAACATAATTTGTCCAATCATTATTGTGTGGACCATATTTTGTATACTGTAAAATAATGTATATTCATTTCAAAAATAATGTACATTCAATACAAAAATAATGTACATTGTATTCAGGGATATACATTATTTTTATACTGAGTGTACATTATATTGTATAATGTACATTCAGTATAAAAAATAATATACATTTAGTATATTAAAAATATACTTTTTTTTGTTATGGTCCACATAACACTGTGTGGACCAATAATTTGCCTAATTTGCCCCATTGGACCATTATAACTTATTTAAGAAATTATTTTAGCCGTAAACAGATAATGGGCTTCAGATTTTAATTTGGGCCGTACAGCCCTGTTGACATTTAAT